GATTAAAATGGTCCACCCTGTACATATATATATATATATATATATATATATATATATAGAGTACGTGTAAAAAAATATACATATATATTTATTTGGATTTAAAGGTGAATATCATCTATATACCTGGGCATATCCGGGGGAGGGGGAGAGGGTTCAATTCACCCCAAAATTTTTATTTATATTTTTAGTTTTACAAAATCAAATATTTTTTTATAAAATTTATGATACGATATTTATGTAAATTATCGAATAAAGCAATCCATATATTAATGCAAAAAATTCTGCATATGCGTGGTGTTAATAGAATTAATAAAAACCCCTGCCGAAAAATAATCCTGGATATTGTCCATTAGATTTGGATGTCTCAATCTGTACATATCTGAAGGAAATCGTGGTGGAAATGGTCTAACTGATGCCATTAAAGGAGGATGTCTCCCTCTTGCCATAGGTGGAATCTGTCCTCTTAATGGAACCATAGGACCTACTACGATTGGTCTTGGAGGAAAACTCTACAAATATATATTAATAAGAAATAAATAAATTTGAAGTCCAACAAATTCTAGGAACATTCATTAAATCAACAGCTAAGTTTATATATATTTTACTTACGCTATAATGTATAGGTATTGATGATTCAATATTCCTTCGTTCTCTGGATCTATCTCTATCAGATGTGCTGTCTTTGTCTCTCTCCCTATTCCTTTCTCTTTCTCTTTCCCTCTCTCTATCACTTCTTTCATAAAATCGTTTTTTTGATCTTTCACGATATCTGTCGCGATAAGATCTCTCTTCCATAAACGACCTATAATGATAAAAAGTACAAATAACTATTAATCCTATTAAAGAATAATTTAGCATCTTTTTTTCCATTTTACAAACAAATAAATTAAATAACAATTATAATTTAAATGAAAGTAAATACAAATAAATAAAGTCTGGTATTATCTAAGTCATAAAAAATTGAAAATTATTTTAAAATATTTAAAATAATGAAAATATTAATTTATTTAAAATGAAAATTATCTATTAATGATTTTATTCTATACCTGGAATGTGAGTTGCGCGGTTCTCTAGAATGCGATCGATTAATATCATGCTTATTTGCATCTCTTTCTGTATATTTCTCTTTATACTCTCTGCGTTCTTCTAAACTGCTTCTCCTACAAAATATGATAAGAGAATATACTTTTCATCTAGAACAATTACTTAATATTGTTTTAATTATACTTGTGTGCTTTTAATAACACAGTTCAACAAAAAGAAAAACATCATAACGAGACTTCGTAATATTTTTGATTCGGATGCTGAATCCGAATCCGATTGTAGAATTGTTCTATCACGTTATAATTTTAAAAAATTTGCTAATAAAGTGTAAAAAGGAGCTTGTTAAATATGGGATTCATTGTGGAAAACTGTAAATTAAATCAGTGACAACTGATTTACCAAACAGCTTCCAATGTTATTTATATCAACTCAAGTGTTTTTTAAATCGCTGAAAATCCAATATTAAAATTGACAAATTCCAAATGACAGATTCAATATAGCAAATATAAAAACTTAAAAAATGTTTAAAAATGTGTACGCGCGCGTGTGTTCACAGATCGGTTTTACTTTTTGTGTAAGCTTTAGATTGAAAATGTGGACCTTGCAAAAAAACAAAATTGGAGGCTGTTTGATAAATTGTTAATAATTTAATTCAAAGTTTTTCCGACTGTAATAGATCCCTTGTTTAACAATAACTTTCATTCTAATTAACTATAACGAACACAAAAATTCCTTTTGAGGATTGAAAGTCCTAATAACATATTTAATTTTGATAGAAAAAACACTTTTCGAACACGTCGCATTTCGAAGTTATAATATGACAAAATACAGGAAAATAGCCCTTTTTTGTAATTTTACCTGCAAATTGCTCAAAGTTGTGATGTGAATTCAACAATTAGATTTGGATTCAACATCCAAAAACTTACGGAAAATGACTCATTATGATGTTCGAAAGTCATTTTTTGTTGAACAGTGTTATTTAAAAAATAAACTGTAAACTGTATTTATCAATAAATAAATAAGTAAAGCTAACTTTACCCATCACATTTTTCTGTCTTGTCCCCATGCTTCAAATCCATGCGATGACTAAAATCATAAGAAAATAGATTAAAGTATGTACATTTAGCATAAATAGAATATTGTCATAGTAAATAAAACCAACCTGGATTGATAAGAACTTGGATATCCGGAATTATAAACACGATTCCTGACAGGACTTAAGGATGAAGACCGTCTCTTCGAAGTATGCAACTTGATTGGTGAGGCTATAATGTTATAGTGTTAAAATATGCAATTTTTTAAAATTCTGTGTTCTAATATTCTTTATGGAACCTTAAAAGTCGAAAAACTAAAACTTTTATTGTGATTTCATAGAAATAACATAAACACTGTGCAATGTATCATTTCGATCTAAACACGTGAAAATTAAACTATCTGGTTCGTCGATTGTAAATGTTTCTCATTTGGAAATTTTATTACAGTCTCGATATTTTAATCTTATCGAGAAAATAATTTTAAGAATATATCAATAAAATTATGATCACAAGTAAGGTAATATTTACCTTTTATATTATAAATGTATATATAACACTTTATATTATAAATCTACATAGCACATCTCAAGTATATATTTTTTTTATTTCACAAAACTTTGAGTACTTTGAAAAATATATGTAAATGCAATTTTATATATTTATTACTTCAAATTAGTTTAACAATTTAAGAATTAATAATAAATAACAATAAAATATTTACATAATATATACCTGATTGTTCTTTATCTATAGCTACAACTATACGTCGTTCTTCCACTTCGTTAGTTTTGTTAGTAGTTTTCTTTAATTCTTCTCTGTCGAATATCGGTTTAGATCCTTCTCCTATATAATTTGATTTATTCATTTTTAGCCTTTTCTACTATTTTTAACGATTTTCTGTTTTGATAACAATTCTAACATATTTAATAATTGATAAATTTTTAAATAAATTAATTAACTAAACTAAATTAGTTGAATATTTGTATTGGTAGAAAGAAGAATTTTATCTTTGGTAAAAAATACGGTAATTTGCGTATATGATATAAATATCTTTTTAAGAGCAGAAATTAAAGTTATTCATATTATATTAATGTTTTTATATTCATTTTTTTTCTTAGCTACCATTCTTAATACCTCTTGATGTTATCTTTAAAATATTCAGAGTCTTTAGAATGTCCTTATAAGTTAAGAGTATGATCTATATGTATAAAGTTCTTTGAATTAAATTACATTCTAAAATTAATAAATTATTATATTATGAAAATTAAATTAACTGACTATATGTGTAACATATATAAAATTAAAAGTCAATAAATTTATCATCTTTCAAAAAGCATATTTCTGTATTTAAATAAAATTGAAATTGTATCCCATATACAACTGTTAAAATTGAGTAATCTATTTTATATTAAATTACATATATTAAATTAGGATAAAGAAAAAATATTCAACTGTATCAAAGTGTACATGTATATATTATAATAGAAACAAAATTTCAATCTCTTCGAGACGAGATCTTCCAGATGAAGATTCCAAAATCCAAATCTTCCAGTATGATGATTTTACATTAAACATGATTTTATGTAGTAACATTAAATAAGGTAGGCATAAAAAAAAACGCTGAATATAGAGAATATCTCCTTAAATCAGACTTATAAGATTAAATAAAATTTTTGTAGATTTCTTCAAATTACAATATATGTAATACTATTACAGATTTTATCAAATTGCAATAATAATGTTACTATTTGAATATTTCTTATTATTGATATTGCTTTATATGTATATTGGCATTGATGCAAAAATATAAATTTAAAAAAATTTATGTTATTTTTAAAGTTTCTTCAAGATTATACGAAAAGTGTGCTTTCCAAAATTTCGTTGGACATTATTTCTTCTTGTTTAAACACTTTAAACCTTCTTTGTTTTATTTAAATTCCTATGATAACACATACACACGTATATACATATATGTATTATATACATATTTGGTGTGTGTGTGTGTGTGTGTGTGTGGAGTTTTTAAAAAGTCCGGAAAGGTGAAATATTTGAAAAACGAAATATCTCTAGCGAGAAATACGTAAGAAGCAAAATTGTAAAACTAAATAAAATGTGACTAACAGTGATAAGAGTTTGCAAGATCATAAAAGTCAAGTTGAATTTTTTAAATAAAACCTCTTATTTTTTATTGCACATTCTTATAGCTTACTTCAAGAGCTTTCCAAAACACTATAATAAAGATTTTTTTTGCTAAGTATGTACATCTCGAATTATTAGATTTGAAATTTACAGTACCGTCGGCATAAGCATTATCTCAGATGTCTGAACAATGGTTAAAGCCTTTTGAATGTTATTCAGGATCTTGACAATATATAGCAAAATCATGGCTATTGGTGGTTTTCTCTTTTTTTCAAAAATGAAAATAATAGCAACAACCTCTAATAGCCTCAACCTTGACATATGTTATCAAGATCATGATCCTGAACATTTAAAAGATTTTAGCCAATGTTTGGGCACAGGGCACTTGGAATAATGCTAATTCCGATGTTTTGTAAATTTTACATCTTATAACTCAAAAGGTACTTAACATAAAAATACTTTATTATATTATTTTGGAAAATTTTTGAAGTAAGCTACAAGAATATATATGTAATAAAAAATAGAAGGTTCATAATATTCTGAATAACTTCATCTTTATACGTTGCGCGCGGACTCCATTCAAAGTTAAATTCTTATCACCGTTAGTCATATTTTAGTTAATCCTACAATTTTATTGTTTCTTACATATTTTTCGCTATAGTTGATCGTTTACAAGATATTTTAGCGTTTTCAGACTTTTTAATTCTGTATATATACTGCTAAAAAAATTATGATATAGAAAAATTTTAGGCAAAAATTGGTTAACTTGAGCTGACAATAACTTCACAAAAAATCGTTATAATTATTGGATCGCGATTTTGTTTAAATTAAAGCTTGAATTCTTTATTTAAGATATTAAATCTTGATTTTAAATTTAATGCATCCTATTATTGTAAACCCTTAAATCTGAGGGCATGTTTGCTATATTGAAAATTGCAAAGACAGAATGCACGGACTTGCTGAAAAAATTTTTTTCGAGGATGCCACATCTGTAATGATTGATGCGGCGTAAAGCTCGAACCTTCCCCTTTAATTAAAAAAAAAAGGAAGTTACTGCGATATTTTTCCGCAAAGTTATGGTATTTATAATTATGTACTGTCGGCATTGGCATTACCCGATGCACTACAGGGAAGTTGTCGGTCGGATTTTGCACATCGTGTATGTGTACGTGCGCGCGCGTGCGCGCATCTTCGCATCGCAATCCTACCAGCAACTTCCTTATGCACATTGGAGCGAGTAATGTCAATGTCAGTACAAATGGCATCCCCCAAAAATATTAGTAAATCCGTGCATTTCGTCAAACTTTACAATTTCCAATATAAAGAATATGCTTTCAGATATAAGAGTTTACAATGGTAGGGGTTAAACTTACTTGAGACATAGGTTGCGTTCGCTTATAGCATCATTTCATCCTTGTTAATTATCAAATGTTAAAGAATAAATACTCACAAGAGCTGTAAGCGCCAAACCTAACGCAGCCATAGTATTTTAAAGTAGAGAGATTTCAAGCTTTAATTTAACAAAAAATTTAAATAAAATTATGATCCTATGATTTTTCGCGGGGTTATTGTCAGCCAAAGTTAGTCAAAATTTTTCTATGCCTTAATTTTTTTTATTAGTATATATACTTATATTTTTATGTACATATATATATATATATATATATATATATATATATATACACGTATCATTAAAAAATCTTAATGAAATCTTCCAGATGGTGATTCTAAAATATATCTTCTAATGTAACAATTCTATGATATTAAAATACAATTTTATTTTATGCAAATACATATATATATATAAAATACAAGCA